CCCCCTCCCAAGCCACTACGATTTTGGAATGCACCTAGTAGCTTGACATTTATTAGGAATAAAGACTTCTGAGTTCTGGTGAATTTGTGCGCGCGGGGTCATTATGTTACCGCTATGCGGTGTCTAGTTTGTGACACATTCTGCAGCAAGATAAATTTACTATTTATCCCCAACACTGTATTTCAGTTCTATATGAGAAAATATTTAAATGTATTATTTTAGGGGAAAAATTTGTCAAATTGACTCCCATGTTTAATATGACCGCCCAACTTTGTGGATTATTTTTGTGGTTTAATGTTTTRCATTATATACACTAAATATTAGGGGTGCAACGATACAGAAAATTCACGGTTTGGTTCAATAATTTGGTCTCACGGGTCGATATTTTTTCAATACAAAAAAAAAGAAATTTCCATGCCCTTAACTCGTAATTTATTAATATTAATTATGAACATTTGTTTAACCTCCAAAAGTACAGTTTTTCAATTAAATGTTGCTGAAACAGCAAGTTTCTCTGTGGGTCTGTGCTCAACAATGCAGCCTAGGTGGAGTAGTTAAACGTAGATCCTCTGAGCCTTCAACACAGAGCGTCTTCAGAAGACAAGTGGATAAAATAAAATTTAAATTGTTCGATACAAGTGTGTTTTGAACCTAGAGCACTGTATTGAGCGATTCAGTACAGATGCATGTATTGATGCACCCCATGATCGCAGATCCCAATATTAGATATGAATAACAGCGCACTAAACATTTCTCTAGGTTGTGTTCACTGTGACATTTAGTGGCAGCAAACAGCTGTTTTTAACACAATCACTGAAAGAAAATCAATACCAAAAGTCTTGTTTATTGATAGCTTTGACTGCTTCTCTCCTGTTTGCTGTGATGAAAACTGTTTGTTAGCTTGATATAAATGTTTGAGGTGAATTGGCCGGTGTGTTGTGGCAGAGCTGACTCTGAAACAAAAAGCCAATATTCTTCATTCATTAAGGTTTCATGAGCCTAGTTGTTGTTTTTTTAGTTCTCGCTCGTTTCTCTTGAGTCATTAACGGCTGTAAATCTCTCTGACAGCACATTTTAGCTGTGGAAGCAGTTTATTATTATTAAAAAGTTAAATTCCTCTACTCGGTGCTTCTCCACGTAACATTCGATGCTTCTCACCACAGAGAGTCGGGGTGGACCTGCAGGCTCGTGTCAAAGGTGAATTCAGAGCTCTGCATCAAATCCTGCAGGATGAGGAGACCTGGCTGCTGGAGCAGCTGAGGAGAGAGCAGGAGGAGGAGCTGGAGAAGGTGCAGCGCCACCTAGAGGCGTTAGAGCTGGCTGAACGCGAACTGGACCACAACATCCAACTGCTGCAGCAGGCCAAAGTCACACTGACGGAGGTGAAATCTTTATTTATTTATTTATTTATTTTAAACCTATGTTGTCCTTTTTGATTTCGGTAAGGTGTGACAAAGTGTATATATATATATATTAAAAAATGTAACTATTAGCACTTTGAGTTTGACAAATTATGTTCAAGTGGTTTATATCAAATCTAAGAAAAAAATTTCAGAAAGCACGTGTTGTATGAAAAAATGGTTATTCTCAGTGTTTGCATACAATCTGTGTATAGTTCATTCTTTTTCCAGTTTAAAATAAAATCAGGAAAAAGTAGAACAAATCAGGTGTTTTTTTATTTTCATTATGTTTTCAAACTAAATTAGAAAAATGATGATTGTCATTTCCAGTATCAGTACATATTAAAACATAAAGCGTATGCTTTATTTAGGATTTAGATATCTAAAGCAAAAATCAAACACTGTATTTTTAATTAGTTTGATTTTTACATTTAAGTTTTAAACACAGAAACCCCCCCCCCGTTTGGAGACTTTGCTTTGAAACAGAAAAATAAAAGAAGGAACCACATTCTGTCGTTTTATTGCCTGATGCCRTTGGCAAAATATAAAAATGTTTCCTGAACCACTGGATTTTAAGGAGCCTCCCAAAAAGTAATCACTAGATGTTCATCTACAGCCGATTTACGTTTTGAAGTCAACACAATTCAAGATGGCCGTCACAGCCAACTGACTCTGACACTGATCAGTTTTACAGRTATTTAGGTGTAGAAGCTGACAAATACTAGTAACACAACATATTTTACCAGATCTTGCAATATTGCTTGATCAGTAAAGGTAGTCAAAGTGTTGTGCATACCATCTGAACTTTAAATGACCTAAACTGATGTCTATAATATGAAGTTAAAGTGATTTTTCTTTTTCCTTTCCCACAGTTCCCACAGCTGAGGTGAGCTTTCACTACCACATTAAACGCTTAAGGCATTTTTTTGCATCTGTTTTTAAAAGTTTTTTTTTTTTTTACTTTGTCTCATTAGTGTTGTTTGTTTGCCTGTGTGTCTAATGAAACGCATGTCGTCGACAGACCATGTGCGCAGGTGGAAACTGTTTCGGAGTTCAATATAAAYGCTTTCAGCGACAAATACTTGTCTCCGCTGCAGTACGTCACATGGAGAAAGATGTTCAAGTCTCTGAAGCCAGGTAATTTCCTCTTCTGCTGTGCTTCATTAAACTCCAATAGATGCGAGCTGTAACCTGGCTCTGCCACAACACTGGGAGTAATTATGAAGAAATGACTGAGTACGCTCTGATTGGAGTCATTTTAAAGTGTTTTTTTTTCCTTCCTGGAAACTTTTTTAATTTGTGCAACTTGTGTTTAATTCATGTATTTTCTTTCAAAGGTCCGTCTCCTTTAACGTTCGATATCGACACGGCTCACCCGAGCATTCACGTCTCCAGGGACAAACTGATAGCAGTGGAGTGTGAGGTCATGACCTCGCATACGAGCCACAGCAAGCGCTTCCTCCAGTGCGTCAACATCCTGGCTGCCCAGAGTTTCCAGTCGGGTCGACACTACTGGGAGGTGGAGGTGGGCTGCAGCCCTAAGTGGGACCTGGGCGTGGCCTCGGAGACGGTGGACAGGCACGCTCGRATCAAGCTGAGCCCCGAGAGCGGCTACTGGACCCTGCGGCTGCGCAACGGCGACGAGTACTGGGCCGGGACGCAGCCGTGGACGAGGCTGCAGCTCGCGTCGCCCCCGCAGAGGATCGGCGTTTTCCTGGACTGCGACGAGAGGAGGGTGTCGTTCTACGACGCCGACGAAATGAGTCTGCTGTACACGTTCAGCRGTGGGCCGAGGGGCAAAGTGTTCCCCTTCTTCAGCCCGTGCATCAGTGACAGCAGGACCAAACCTCAGTTTATTAAACTCCTGCATTACCCTCCTGTCGCTCTGTCCGGGTAACTGAAGCTAGCTGTTTCAGCACGCACGCCATTTTGGCTGTTCTCATATTTTCCATTGTAATCGTTCTGAGGACGCCCTTTCAGTTCAAGGCACCGATCAGCTTGTTATTAAGCAGTATTACAGCTTGGCTCAGCATTTTATGGCTCATTAACTCTATCGCAAGMATCTTTAATAAATGTAGATACTTAATTTTTTTTATCTCAAGGCACTATAATTATCTCATCAAGTCAGACTATCTTTACCCGTACTTTCAATCACTTCAGGAGGAATTGTGCAYTTTACTGCAATTTTATATCTGATTAAAATCCCCATGTTTTATTCATGAGACCTAAATATGACGGTTTCTTCTATTAGCTCTTCTTTTTCAGGTAATTTCTGGTGAAGAAAGCACATGATGTATTCATTATTCGTGCCTAATTTTAAACTCTTTTTGAAGTTTTGTATCTGATTGTTGCATGTAGTAATTCTGCGACTTCATCATGTAAATCTTTCTGATGCAAATAAACAAAGTCAACAAAGCGCGCTTTTTAACGTGGCACTACTTGAACTAATCAGGGATGTTTATAAGGATTGTTGGAACACCATGTGGTTTATGGCGGTCCAAAACCATTCATAAGTAGAAATGCCAAAAAAAAAAGTTGACTTTACTGCACCTGGACTGGAATTTTTTTTTTTTTTTTTGAGCGCGTGACACATTTCTGACACTGGAACTGCGAGAATAGGCGGGATTTCGGTTATCTTCACAAACACATTGCAGGATCGACGTCCTGTTTCCTCCCGCCAGGTGAAAGGTCAGACAAACAGAGTGACAGCAGGGTTGTCTCTTGGCTTTTTGACAGCTCTCGAGGGGCCGTGCTGGGCAGGATACTGCTGCCTGCTCTTCTAATTGAAGTTGGCTTTCCGTAAATACCTTTTTTTGTGACGAATTCCAAATAACCACTTATTTGTGTATTTTTTTTTGATATTTTAGAGGTTTCTTAGCAGTAATTTCTAAACATAAATTCTCCACACTTACTTATGGTGAGTTTTTAAAATCTCAAGTTTCTGTATACGTTGTTACAATAATACTCATTCATCCACACAAACAATGCTTTTCTACTACATGTACACATTTTCATGTTCTTACTCGTACATCGATAAAAACATTGCAGCAGTGAGTAGTTCAATGTTTTACCCAGGGACACGTCACACTTCGTCCTGCTGCTAAAGCTGAGGATTGACCCTCAGACCCACTGAAGAGCAACCTCCACCAACTGGGCCACAGCCTTCGATGTTGGGGGGGCGGGGTCACATTATTTTAATCTAAATAGATTTCCCACCAAGCATTTGCCCACATTTTCAGAAAGCAACATAAAAAGATAAAATGTTGCTGTTAGTTACATTGTCTTAGTACAAAACCAGAGTAGTCATGGAAAAAAAAACTATGACAAAATGTTGATATAAATCATTTAAATTACGAATTAACTTGACATAAAATGGACTGGTTTTCAGTAAAAAAAAAAAAAAAGTGGTTTCTTTCGAGTACCTTCAGATTTTTACAAATATTTCCACACGTTTTAAAAACCAGAATAGGTTTGTGTTTTTTGACGAGCATGTACTGGTGACGTAGTTTCAAACAACTTTCTCCAGCAAAATTTAACCCAATAACTGGTAACTAAATTGTCACTATAATGAAAGGTTGTCRTGTGTCCCAGTGATGGACTGAGGACCTGTCCGAGGTGTACCCATCTGCTGACCCCTGGAAATAGACATCTGCCATCTTAAACAGCAAAGTAGTTTAATAAAAATRGATGAATGTAGATTTGGCATCTACAATCAGAGTTCTCAAATTTAACCTGAACAAATGTGCTAAATTAAAAAGTACTTTTTGATGTTGAAGACTGCAATTTGTTACACAATGACCAGCGACCTATCCAACCAGATGAAAGGTGGACAGGGTTCCCACGGGTCCTTGAAACCCTTGAAAGTTTGTGAATTTGAAAAAATGATTGCAAGGCCCCGGAAAGTTTGTGAAAACAGCCAAAATTATGCTTGTCCTTGAATGTTTTTTGGGGATTGGAGTTCTTTATTCACACGACTAATTTTCATCATGTTAACCCCCCCACCAAATATATATGTGTGTGTGTATATATA